GTTGTAAATTGGTTGTGAGTGACACTGGGGACCGTCTATTCTGCCATCTTGACCGGAAGCCACTCGGTGACAGCTCTTATCCTCCACACGCACGTGCGGGGCCTCCCTGCTCTGTTTACTGATTTCTGTGGAGAGTGTGAGGCACGTGGCTGCACTTGATTCCGACGCCTCCCACACGTCGTCTTTCCCCTCTTGCTGTGGCAGCGGCTCCAAAACAATGTCGAGTGGCATCAACACTAGCAGCTTTTCTGGTAACGTAACTTTAATGTGACACAGACTGAGTTCGGAATCCTCTATTTATTTATTTATCATTATGTTTTTAAAAGCTGACCAGTAAGAGGATCTCAACCCTTGACTTGGTGGTGTCAGCACCACGTTCTCCCAAGTGAGCCACCGGCCGGCCTGGAATCCTTTATTAATATTTACATGAACTATAAAGACACTGTAATCAGGGTGGTATTAATACAATAATGGAGGAGGCGTGGTGTACAGAACAGGCAACCCAGAAGTACGTCCACGTACAAGCAAACCGCGTCTGCGGGAGAGGTGTGCCTTGTGCCCCGCACGAGGGCAGCACCCTGAGGCCGGCGCCCCGGGTTCAAATCCCAGCTCCTCCGCTTCCCAACTGCGACCTTCAGCAAGTTACCCAAGGTCTTTCAGCCTCAGTTTCTCCATTTCTGAAGCAGGGACAATAATGCTAAGATACTTCGCAAAGCTGCTGTAAAAACTGAAGGAGGGCTCGTGGGTACGCCACTGAGGCACGGCGCTCGGCACGCGCGTGCAGACGAAACGCCAGGCCCGACTCTGCCCACGCTACTCGCTGGGACGACCTCCTGACGGCTTAGGCTGCACGTGGAGAACGCGACACGAGGGACACCTTGGAAAAAGCATTCATCAGAACACTCAAGAGGGAAAGACAGACGAGTTTGTGGATTTTTAAAAAGTCGTCCACACCAGCCAGCCACCAAAAGGAACAACTTATAAACTAAAAAGCAATTTTTTAAAAAATTAGAGCTTGGCGGTGGCGGGTGGAGGCGGGAGGAGGGGCAGGGCTGCCTGAGGAGCAGCCTCCTGGACGGTGTAAATTTCTACTTGAGACGGAGAAAGTTCTAGAGACAATAATCATGCCCAACGTAAAAACGCAAGGACTTTCCTTCCAACCACGTTGCTTCCAGACACGTTTGTCAGCACCTTGCCCAGCAACATTTTAAGAAGATATTGAGCTTCTGCAATACCTGGCACCGATGGTTTTACTCCTTTTTAAAATTTTTAACACTTTATGGCTTTATTATAAACCAAGGATTTTGGACTTGCAAAGAGGAATTATTGCAATTTAGGATTGGTACAAATTCATTTTCTGCTATCTATTGCATTTTTTTAAAATCTGGGTTTTGTTCTTTTTTGAAATTTTGTTAAAATTTTAACTTCTCAGTATACATCGTAGTGGATTTTCGTGTCCCTTTACCTGTTCCTCTTTCCCCCCCTCCACTCCCCACTAATGGATTTATAAAATAATTTTCCAGTTCAGTTTTATGATGTAGCCTCTTACAGAAACATTAGCAAAATGCAGGAATCTGCCACATTTCTTTTTTAGTATAATTCAATAGCTCACTTACCCACTTTTTAAACTTGATCCCTCATTTAATAATCGTAAAATCATGGCATTAGCTAACTGTGCTTACTTAACATGATCCAATTATCGCTTCCTTTACTATTACCTTCCTAATTTGTTTACTCTATAGGGAAACAAAACAAAACAAAGGTTAGAGATCGGAGGAAGGCGTTCCGCTTTGTGGTACCAGCTGCTGAAGTGTAAGTATGGTGCTAGATTTTCTAGTGACTTTCGTGCTTGCATTTTTGGGGGCAAAAGCCAAATGTTGTACTTGTTATTTTCAGAGTTGCCTCGCCCTTTTTTCTTTTGTCCAAAATGGTTCTAAATAGAATAAACCAATGGAGCAGTATTTTCCTTCCAAATGAAGCCCAAAAGAAAAGTGCCTTGCATCATTAAAAAAAAATGTATATATATTAAGAGCTGGCCAGTTAGCTCACTCAGCAGAGGGTGGTGCTGGTCACACCAAGGTCAAAGGTTCCGCATACTGGCCAGCCACTGAAAAAAAATTTTTTTTTAAAAAGACTCTGGGAGGGGCCAGCCCGTGGCTCACT